AGAGTGCTTGGAAGATGTGTGTGTGCATGCATGTCATCAATCTGACAATTGATAATCAGCCAACAAGCTTTTATCATGCAACTACTATGTGTTGGATTTGGAGTTAAAATGACCCGAGTTCAAATCCAGCCTCAGACACTACTAGTTGTGTGACCTCGGGGAAGTCATTTAACCCTATTTGCCTCAGTTTCCTCATCTGTAAAATGAGCTGGAGAAGAAAATAGAATACCACTCAGCATCTCTGTTAAGAAAACTCCAAATGAGGTCCAAAAAATTGGACACAACTGAAACAAATGAACAACGAATGTGCCAGGCCCAATACTAAGTGCTACAGATAGAAAGAATGGCAAAAGACAGTGCCTGTTCTGAAGGAGCCCACAATCTAATGGGGAAGACATGTAAACTATTATATACAAACAGGATATGTGACTTGAGAGCAACCAGGGAAGCTAGAGACAGAGATTAGGAGGGAGAGCATTCCAGACAGGAGGATGAGCCAGAGAAAATGCTTGAAGTCGGAAGATGAAGACTCTTGTGCAAGGAACAGTAAGGAGGCCAATATCAAGGGATCACAGAGCACATGGGAGGAATGATGTGTAAGAAGGCTGAAAAGGTAGAAGGTTGTCAGACCCATGATTTAGGAAAGTCATTCTGACAGCCATATAGAGGATGGATTGGAGTGGGGAGAGATTTGAAGTCAAACAGGAGCTAGAAAAGATCTTGACAGACCATCCAGTCCATAGCCTGCCTTCCGACAAGACCATGCCAAAAACCTTTTGGACAGATGAGAATCTGTCAAGTGTTCCAAAGACCCCCAGTGGATATTATATGATCTCCCTTCCCCCAAATCAACTTGCTTTTTATACTTTCCTATTTCTGTTATTCTCTCAGTTATGCAGGCTTACAACCAGGAGATGATAGTCCTGAATCAGCCTGCCATGTTCAGTTCTAGGTGCCATGTATTAGGAAAGCCACGGATAAACCAGAGAGAGACTAGATGATGGCACCCAGGTGATGACAGCTAACATCTGTCTCATGCTTTAATGTCTGAAAGGTGTTTTACATATACAACAGCCCCATAAGGTAGATACTACAAATAATATTACCCCTATTTTATAGATGAGGAAACTAAGTCCCAGAGAGGTTGAGTGACTTGCCTATGATCACACAGGTAGTATGTGAATTTAAACCAGGATCTTCCGACTCCAAATCCATAGCTCCTTCCACTGTACCTTGCTGACTTAGTGGCATTACTGTCTTCAAGTAATCAAAGGTCTGTCATATAGATGGATTACACTTGTTCTGCCTGGCCCCAGAGGTTACAACTATGAACAAGGGGTAGAAGTTGAAAAACAGGCAGATTTTGGCTTGATGTAAGAAGAAACTTCTCAATCAAGAGAACTATTCCAAAGTGCAATGGGCTTCCTCAAGAAGTAGCAGAATTTCCTGTACTAGAGATTTCCAAGCAAAATCTGGATGACCCCTTTTTGAGTAAGCCATAAAGCAGATTCTTATTCAGGTATATGTTGGACTCAGTGGACTCTGAGATACTTGTAACTGTGGTCATTGCTTCCATGAAACACGAGTCATCTTTGAAACCTCTTTCTCAGGGGCAGCTAGGTGGCACAGTGGATACAGCACAGCCCTGAAGTCAGGAGGACCTGAGTTCAAATCTGGCCTCAGACCAAACACTTGACACTTACTAGCTGTGTGACTCTGGGCAAGTCACTTAACCCCAACTGCCTAAAACAAAAGAAAAAAAAAAACTTCTTTCTCAGCCCTCTACCCCATAACTCCCACAACACATCCAGTGCACTCAATTGGCCCTATTGATTTTGATTCTACAAAATTGCTTGCATTTCTTTCCATTCCAGAACTCACACATACTGAGTTTACAAATGCATTAGATGACTTCAGTAGCAGCAGCAACCAATTTGCCTTCAGAAACCTTCGACCTCATCATCAGAAAGTATGAGTCTTAAGTGAATTTTTTTTTTCTGCCACAGAGATGCATGAACTGCATATTATGGTGTGAAGGGATTAAACTCTACATTGGTGGACAGAACACTCAGACTGGTTAAATCACAGATCTTTTTTAAGCATCTGAATTATAAATGCATCTCACTGGGGCAAACATTTAAATCAATTTACATTCTCTGAGAACACACCCACTGATGGCCAAAGGCAATCCACAAAGTGAGTAATTTGCATGCAGATAATCAAGTTGGCCATCCAAGATCAGACAACCACTTGTTCACACTGTCCCACTGTGGAATAAAGTTTCCTGGTTCAATGTGACAAAACATGACTTCATTCTTCTCAGTGAATGATATTAATTAGGAGGTGAAATTGTTATATATTCCATTTCAGGGCAACATAGAGTCTCACAGTTTATTCTGGTGCTATTCCCTAAATAACTTGAGCTTGGGAAAGTGGTAGGGGTTGGGGAGTAGGGGAGAAGTATCTCATTAAACAAACAGTGATACTGTGGAGAGCTGTCCTGTCTCTTTAAAATAGAAGTTTTTTTTTTTAAGAGCCTGCCTTTCATGTTTGAGGGAAATGCTGCAGTCAGTTTTTGTTTGGGCTAGAATAAAGCTAATTGGGACACATGAGGAGAGACCCTGCTGGGGCCTAATTAGCACCATGCTGTAACCACAGACCTTTCATCTAGCACCTCAAGTTATCCAGGGATTACTATATTACACTTATTAAATTTAGCATATTTTAGCAAGCCAATCGCAATTTCATTAATAAATGTTTTAACAAATCAAGCTGTGTAACTGAATAATACACTCGATTTTGCTCTGTTTTGCTGAAATATTTAAAGCCCTTTGGAGTTAGACTCAGATGAAGGGACAGCAGCTTTCTGCTCCCCTCTGGTGCTGTGAAAACCTAGTACAGTAACTCTCATCTGGAGTGCTGTGATGTAGTGGTGGTCCTGGGCCTCAAGATTACTCTAATTAAGCAGTCAAAATGGTGGGGTGGGCAGCACCAGGGGAGAGCAAGCAGCCACACATAGAGGGTAGGTTTCTGCTGTTCTGTGCTTAGGGAGGGTGCATCATTGGCACTTTGTGGAATGTCAAGGAAAGAACTGGGACACCCAAAAACTGCAGCCTCTCACATTCTTAGGCAGACCTTCTCCTGTGCATATGCATTGTACTTTCTGCTAGAAATTTTAGAATATCTTTGCACTTCCCATAGCACCTTTATTAAGAGGATCTCAACACATAATCTTTACAACACTCCTGAACTTAATTTTGTCCTCTTTCCAAAGTAGACAGTGTTTACTTAAAGTGATGAGTTGGGATTGGGAAAAGGGGCAGAAGGGTGCATTAGATGACAGTCCAATCTCACCATTTTAACCAAGGGGAAAGTGGGTCCAGAGAAAGGAAGGGACTGGCCCAAGGTCATATATAATGAGATACTGATCACCTTTAGCATTATTCCAAAAGATAAAAGGTAGCACTCCCATTCCTTCTGCCCCTGAATCCCAGGAAGGATTTCTATACAGAAACAATTCCCAAGAACGTAGAAAAAGTCTACATGGGAAAAATTCTTAAGAGACTGGCAAACTCTTAACATTTCCAATCATCAATTTGCACTATCTCCCTCGTCACCACTTCTGAATGGATCTTACTTGATAATCTCCAGGTATGCATTCTATTTCTTTTTCTAGCCAGAAGTCTAATGTGTATCCTTCATTGTCAGCATTCAGATGAGCCACCGATTATTATGTTCATGATTAGAGATAAATAAAATCTTCTATTTCTTCATCAAACGTGACAGAAATGCCAGCAATATGACAAAGTACTATATATAGGTGGTACAGTGAATAAAGTATTGAGCCTGGAATCAGGAAGACTCATCTTCATGAGTTCCAATCAGGCCTCAGACACTTACTAGCTGTGATCCTGGACAAGTCACTTCACCTTGTTTGCCTTAGTTTCCTCATCTGTAAAATGAGCTGGAGAAGAACATGGCAAACCACTCCAGGATCTTTGCCAAGAAAACCCCAAATGGGGTCACAAAGCATTGGACACGACTGAAATGACTGAACAGTGACAACAGCAGCTATAAACATCTGAGCTGGGGAAGTACTTACTAGATCAGAATGCTACTCCTCCACTGGATGGATAGGACACAGAGAACAGGAACCTAATCATGGGGAAAAGGAAATGTCTATGTTGAATTAGATATTTAATCACTGATTTCTCCTTTTCTTAATTTCTGACTAGACTAGTAGAATAAGCTTTAAAGAGTAAGTTACAGAAAATGTTAATGTGTGGTTTTGAAATGTCTCTATATATCTTGACATATCTATACTGATAGAGCAAGCAGCAATGCCTATTGGATAGAGGTCTTGCCTTAGGCTCAGTAAGATCTGGGTTCATATCCTGCCTCTCACAAATACTGGCTATATAACCATGTCGCGTCTCTTCGCTTCTTTCTTAATGTTCCAGACAATTCTTTAAGACTAAGTTATGGAGGTATTGTCAATCTTGCCAATTAGTAGAGGGAGTTTCCCATAAAGATGAAGTCACACGTTTGGAACATTTCCCGCCTCCCCATCCCACTAAATAAATTAAACCTTACACACACATATCTACACATACACACACACACACACACACACATTCTTTCACTGCCACGTTCTTTCTGAGCTTAAAAGACACTGAAAAGGAAAGAAATTCAGGCTGGTTATAAAATGGACTTGAATTAATACTATATATTCTGTAAAGTGGATTTGCCTGCCTATCATAACATTAGAACAGACTGCTCTAGGGGATTTGTGGGGGAAGGGCAAGGAAGAAGCAGTATTCAGCTTCGGAGATAAGCCCTCAAGTTTCATGCAGGGGTCAGTGTTTTAGAGCTGGAAGGGATCTCACAGATATGAGGTCTAATCCTCTCATTCTGCAGATGAGGAAACTGAGACCCAGAAAGAGGTGACTTGTCTTAGATCACAAAGGGAGTAAATGACAAGAGACTGAATTGTGTCCCAGGTCCTGATCGCCGATGCAGTCCGCGCTCGTCCATGGCACCCCTCCCGCTCCAAGCCACATTTGTCCAGCTTCCAGCGCAGTCTCTTTCAGGCCAGCAGCCGCAGGAGTAGCCCACAACCAGGTACCCAAGTCCAGAGAAGGAGAGGAGCAGTTGATGCCTGTGACCACGGGAAAACCCTCCCGGACTAACAGGAATGAATGAGCTTGTCTACTCCCCCAACAGTAAACTTGGGGGTGGGGGGGTGAGGGGAGGTACTGCAGGTGAAGAAGAAAAATGGAAAGGGAACTATAAGGTGGCAGGTTCAAGGTGGTGTATGGGGAGGGGAACAGGTGAGAAGCTCTGCTCCAAGGGGAGGGCACGGCCCAGGGCTGCAGGGTGGGAGGCAGAGGCCACAGGGGCTGGGGAGGGGGCACTACCGTGGAGGGGGCACTACCGTGGAGGGCAGGTGTGGGCCAAAGGGCAAGGAGGCAGGGGGTAGGCTACCATACCTGCATGAGGTGGAAAGCTGTCCCCCCTACCTGTTCATGCCGGAGGCAGCAGCCATCCAGCCTGCGGACCTCAGATGTAGTCGTTGTCCACGTCTCTGCAGATGTACCAGAGGATCACGTAGAGGATGAGCAGGATGGCAAAGAGGAACAAAGCCACGAAGATGGCCTTGGTCACAGGAGACACTACGGACTGCATGGCCCAGATAAGACGAGGTCACCAGGGAGTGGGGAGGAGGAAAAAGGGGAGGTGTGGGTGACACCAACAACCCTCATCCAAGCCCAAGACCCGACTGCTTAGACTTGGGGGAAACTTAAATAGTTGCTGGAAAAAGCCCGCCTCCCTCCTCGGGGCGTCTGCGCAGTGCCCAGATCTGCGGGGGTGTCTAAGGCATCCCCCTCCCCATGTAGCCCCCCCTCTTCTCCCCATGCACTCAATGTTCCAGCCAAACTGATTTCTCTCGGGCCAGTCGGGAACATGCCCTTTTGCTTTCCTGCCGCCCCCGTCCTCCAGATCTTTCCCATGCTTGGAATGCAACTCCCCCCTCACCTCCGCCCTTGGAATCTCTCCCTTTCTTCAAGGCCCAGCTCTGGGGCCATCTCCCACAGAAAGCCTTTCCCGATTCTCCAGTTAACAGTGCCTAGATCCTGTCTATAATGTGGTGGAGTAGTGATCTGATCGCTTTCTCTTTCTTTTTTTCCTCTGCAGCTCCTATAGCAGACCTAGAGAGTCCTAGACTTGGGAGATCCCTCATCTTTAAAAATGAGTGGATTCTATTAGCTCTTTAAGGCTCCTTCAAGCCCTAACATTTTGGGTCAATGAGTCTATGAATTAAAAGACTTGGGTTCAACAGACAGTCCCAACTCCATCAATTAAAAGCTGTGAAACCTCGGACTTCTGTTCTCCTGTTCACTTCTGAGACCGTTTCCACATTTGTAAAATGGAGATAAAAATGCTTGCACTATCTACCTCACAGGGTTTCTTGTAGGATCAAATAAGAAACAGGGTGTGAAAGTGCTTTGTAATCTAAAAATGCTTTATAAACTATTATCCACACAGAGTCTCACTACGAATCTCCCCTCTCAGGATAAAAAGTTGCCATTTGAACCTCGGGGGGCTACATTTCAACAGACACAAAAGTTAACGAGGATTACTTTTTAATTTATCTTTGAACCTAAAAAAGGGGGAACAGAAAGAATTTATAGGATTTAAAGCTAGAAGAGACCTTAGAGATCAACTAAAGTCCTTATTCTGCTGAGAAATAAATTAAGAAAAGTGACTTATCTAAGGTCATACAGGTAACAAGTATGTAACAGTCTGGTTTGAATCTGGATTCAGACTCCAGATATAGGGTTCTTCCCACTATACCACACTGCCTTCTTTTGGAAATCCTGCTTTCACACAACTGTTCTGTCATATAATTCCTCTTTTACTCATCTTGAAAAAGACACAAGCCATTCTTAGTAACAACTGAGAGTAAGGTGAGATTTGGCAAGATCTCATAACTGAACCTGGTACATATTTCATTCAACATTTCAACATTGTGTGTGTGTGTGTGTGTGGCGCACTATGCTAGTTCATGTGTAGGAGGGTATTATATATAAGCCCAGATTTTGTTCTTAAGGAGCTCATGGTCAAAGAGCTGGGGAAAGTCCTTTGCAGACAGTTGTGACATGAGAGTGAGATAAGTATAAAGATCCATAAAAAGTACTGGGAAAAATAGGACAAAGGAGAGATGACAATCATCTGGGCTTCCTGGAGGTGGGGACAGGTCCCTCAATTGGGCCTCAAAGAGAAGGGAGACACTTTTATGAGTGAAGATGGTGGAGGAGTGAAGTATTCTTTAAAAGCCTGAGGGGAAAGACACAGGAGAGGGAGGACTAAAAAGGAGAGTTAATCCTTTTTTTCTGTTAAAGAGCTCTGTTCTGGATTTTCTTTTCACTCCTGCTTGGTTTCTCAGCTGCAGAAAGAAGGAAAATAAACGAATCATGCTCTCTACAACTACAGTAACAGCTAATTTGTATTCTTATGGGGGAGAAAAATGGCATTTTACAAATAGAAATGTCAAAAAACATAACTGTCAAACATGAAAATGGGGATTATATAACCCAAATAATCTTTCCCTTTCTTTCCCCCTGACAGCTAAAAACATCTCTCTGGTCAGTGATTGGGGGGGGGGCAGGGTGCAGATATTTCTTTCAGATACTTCAAGGTTATTTCTACATTGATTGACATAATTTAAAAATATGAAATTATAAAAATGAGTATCTTTGAATATGCTGGGCCACATATAAGCCTTTTTTTCTCTGTCTTTAGCTGTGGTTAGATTTCTTTATTTATCATTTTGATATCTTATCTGCTTTTGTTTATTTTGATTTCTTCTGTATAACTCACCCTCTGAGAAAGCTGTGTGGAAAGACTGGACTTCAAATCAGGAATCCTAGCTGTACAACTGACTAGTACGTGACTTTCCACAAATCACTTAACCCATCCAGGACTCAAATTTCCTCAGCTGTAAAATGGCTATGATTTTTGTGAAGGGTTTTCAGAAAGATATGAACAATAAGATAAGAACTAGAGAAGTTGCTAAGTGCACTAATGGAGGGAGGACGCATATGGATGAGATCACAGATCAAACTATAAAATGGTGAAATTGCCATGCCGACCTCACGGTTATTGTGAGGGTCAAAAGTCAATGTGAAGTGGTCTGTGTGTGTACATATAGCCGAACATATTGGGGAAAGAGAGAGAGAATTTATTAAGAGCTTACTATGTGCCCAGCATAGACAAAATTAATGTGCCTAGGATAAGAAGGGAAGCAGTTGAATGGTATCAAGCTTCTCTGGCAAGGGATTGGTATTCAAAATACATAAACAATGAAGTGTGTGCATATATTGTATTACATACACACCCCACCAAAAGCCATGCCCCAATAGATGATTGGTCAAAGAATAAGCACAAATAGTGCTCAAAAGAATTGGAAAGCATAAAGAACTACATGATAGAATGCTTCTTATTACTTTTTAAAAATTTTATTTTTTCCAATGACATGTGAAAACAATTTTAACATTCATTTAAAAAATTCTGAGTTCCTAATGCTGAATGAAGTGAGGAGAAGCAGGAGAACATTGTACACTGTAACAGCCACATTGTGTGCTAACTTTGATAGATTTATCTCTTCTTAGCAACACAAGGACCTAAAACAACTCCAAAAGACTCATGATGGAAAATGCTATCCACATCCAGAAATAAAACTATGGAATCCGAATGTAGATCAAAGCAAATTATTTGCTCTCTACTTTTTGTTTGTTTCTTCTTTCTCATGGTTTCTCCCATTGGTTCTAATGATTCTTTACAACTCGACTAATGTGAAAATAGGTTTAATATAAATGTATATGTAGAGCCTACATCAAATTATATGCCATCTTGGGATGGGGAGAAAATTTGAAATTCAAAATCTTATGGAAGTGAATGTTGAAAACTAAAAATAAATAAATTTTTTTAAAAATCCAACAAAAAAAAACATCTGAGTTCCCAATTCCCTCCCTTCTTCTCTTCCCCTCATTGAGAAGGCAAGCAATTTGATATAGGTTTACATGTGCAGTAATGCAAAACACATTTGCATATTAGTCATGTTGTAAAACAAACAAAAAAAAACACCAAGAAAAATAAAGTAAAGTAAAAGGAAAGTATGCTTTGATCTATATTCAGACTCCATCAATTTTTCTCTGGAGGTGGATGGCATTTTTCATCATAAGTCCTTCAGAATTGTCTTAGATCACTGTACTGCTGAGATTCTGCTCATTTCACTGCATCAAATCATCTAGGATTTCCCAGGTTCCACCGTCACCTTTATCATTTCTTGTAACACAATATTATTTCATCAATTGATGGGCATCTCCTCAATTTTCAATTCTTTGTTCCCACAAAAAGAGCTGCTGTGAATATTTTTGTACATATAGGTCCTTTTCCTTTTTTTTAATCTCTTTGGAATACAATCTTAGTAGCAGTACTGCGAGGTCAAAGAGTATGCACAGTTTTATAGCCCTTTGGGCTTAATTACAAACTGTTCTCTAGAATGGTTGGATCAGTTCACAACTCCACCAACAGTGCATTAGCATACCAATTTTCCTTTTCTCTTATACCAGCAAATCTAATAGGTGAGGTGGTACCTCAGAGTTGTTTTAATTTGCATTTCTCTAATCAATAGTGATTTAGAGCATTTTTTCATATGACTATAATTTTGATTTCTCCATCTAAAAACTGCCTGTTCATATCCTTTGACCATTTATCAACTGATGAATTATTTGTATTCTTACAAATTTGACTCAATTCTCTATAAATTTGAGAAACGAAGACTTTATCAGACGTATGCTATAATTTTCTTCCTCTAGTTTTCTAGTTTCCTTCTAATCTTGGCTGCATTCGTTTTGTTTATGCAAAATTTTTTTACTTTAATCAAAATTATCCATTTTATATCCCATAATGCTCTCTCATTTCATCATAAATTCTTCCCTTATCCATAGATCTGACAAGTCATGTACCCATTTTGACTTTATCTTGGCATATGGTATGAGATATTGCTTTATACCCAGTTTCTGCTAAACTGCCTTCCAGTTTTCCCAGTAGTTTTTGTCAAATAGTGAGTTCTTGTCCCAAAAGCATTGATCTTTGGGTTTATCAAATGCTAGATTACTACCGTCATTTACTATGGTATATTGTATACCCAATCTATTCCAGTGATCCACCACTCTACTTCTTAGCCAGTAACAGATTGTTTTGATAACTACCACTTTGTAATACAGTTTGAGAACTGGTACTGCTAGGCCACCTTGTTTTATATATTTTTCATTGATTACTTTGATATTCTTAAGAGTTTGTTTTTTCAGATGAATTTTATGATCTTCTTCTAGCTCCATAAAATAATTTTTGGTAGCTTAAGTAGTATGGCACTGAATGAAGTAAATTAACATAAGTAGAACTGTCATTATTATATTGGCTTGGCCTACAAAGAGCAACTAACATTTCTCCAATTGTTTAGATCTATTTGTGTAAAAAATGTTTGGTAATCATGTCCATATTGTTCCGGGGTTTGTCTTGGCAAGCAGACTCTCCAAGTATTTTATATTGTCTACAGTTATTTTAAATGGAATTTCTCTATCTCTTGCTGCTAGACTTTG